TCCCTCAACCAGACCGGGCCCCTCAATGTCACAGCTGACTTTGTGACACTCCCCAAATTCCAGCTCGTGACAGATGAGGGGCTGCTATTTTTCCTTTAATTTAACAACCAATTCAGTCAAAGAAAAGGAAATCTTGCAGAAGTCGGACTTTTTAATGGTTCTTGTGGACTCCAGCGCTCCCTTTATGGCACTTATGAAATATCATCTCAGCTTCTCAAGAGAAGGCGGAGAGGACAAAGCCCTGTGCCTGAGGCCAGCGGGCACCTGCTGCCCCTCTGGCCGGAGCCCCTCACCGCCCCAGGCCTCCGTCCCGAGGCCCTCTCCGCGGCCGGCGGAAATCGGACGGGTCTCCAAGTTGGGAGACGGCTTCCTGGAATTGCTGAAAGGCGGGGTGTCCTCTTCCTGGACAGACGTTACCAGACAGCTTTGGCCGCATCTTCCTTCCAATCGGGGGGCCGAGAAATTGAGGGGCACACCGAGGTCCGGGGTGGGGAGGAAGGGCTGGGGCCTCGGCTCTGAACAGCACCCTGTGACCAGAGCTGGCTTGGCCTCAGGTAAGGGAGACAGAGCTCGGTCGCCAGAGTCACTCCCAGCGAACCGTCTCGGGACATCCAGCACTGTCGATGCTTGCCACCCACACCGCCCAGTGTTGGGTGAATTTTTTAGGCCCATCCACGACGTCTTTGACTGTGTGCTGCTCGGCTCTGTGCCGTGTTTTTATGCTGGAGAAGATGATGGGTTTTGCCCTGGTGTTATAAATGCTACCAGGTAAGGCCAGAGTCAAGTGCTTTCAGCAGACACACTCATGACTGTTTCTCATGACGTGTGGCTACACAGCTAAGGAGCCTGGAAGGAAATAGCCGCACAGCTGCCAAAGGCCCCGTCGGCCTGAACACAGAAGGTGATGGAGGCCCCGGCCCGCTGGAGCCGAGCCCTGCGCCTGGGCCGCCCATAGAGCCCTGCAAGCAGCTCTCCGTCAAAGCAGCAGGCTCCAGCGCGTAAAATAAAGGCAAGATGTGGCTGTCTCGGGCCGGAGACATATTCTCACCGCGTACCACTGCCTCCAGGCTTGTGTCTCTTAGAGCCTGGGACAATGGAAACAGCACCGGGAGCCTGTGCGAGAGCCCCAGTCCTGGGTGGAGGCCCCGGGCGCAGCCTTGTTGATGGGACGGATGTCCACACCCGCAGGACGGGCTCCCAGGCTGACCGCAGGCCACCACCCGCCCAGCCTAACGTGTGCCCGGGGCACGAAGGCCTCGCTCCCTCTCCTCCCTGGGCTGTGAGCACAGCCCAGAGCCCCGGGTGGGCAGTGAGGCGAGCCAGACTTCCCGCTTGCGCTGATGGGGCCGGTGACGTGAAAATGGCGGCCACCCGCACCCACCGCCCCTCCACTGTCTTCCCCTTCCACTGTCTTGCCCGCACCCCGACATTAAGAACAGTTACCTGCAGGAGCCCCGTGCTCCCCAGAACAACGAGTCGGTGGCCCCTCTAGGTTTTCCGAACGTCTCTCAGACAGAGTCCAAGTTCTTGTTCCCAAGGAAAGGCCCGGAGAAGCCAAGACGAACTCAGCCACTGCCTGTGTCGATGCGTTTTCTCTGTGTAAATATGTCCAGCTAGACCAGGAAAAGTTGCTAAGCAAGGGCTCTGCCCCCGGCCGCCCTGAGCTGTGCTCGCTGGCCTGCCAGGGCTGGCTGCTGTTCCCGCCGCTCCCCTCCCCGCTGCCTCTCTCTCTTCCCCTCGCGCACGCGGACACGCAGGCACGCACACGGCTGAGCGGTGTCTTCTGGAGCCAAGTGCCAAGTGCATTTCGGAGGACGCGCTGCGATCCCTGGAGACGGAGCCTGACTTCGCATACGAAGGGCGGCAGCAAGGGGCCCCATCTTTATTTCGTACCACCAAGACGAGGGCCGTCAGACGCCGCTGGCTCCGGGGACTCACCCTCATTTCCAGCAAGCTCACCCCACGTCTTGTGCCCAGGGGGCCTCCCGTCCTCACTGTGCACCCCGAGCCTGGTCCCAGAAGCAAGCCTGCGTTCCCCTGCGTGGACGCCGGGGCGAGCCGCCCGGGGCTCTCAGAAGACGGGAAGGCTAACAGGGCACTGGTGCGCTGCCCTGCAGCTGGACACCGGCCGCCAGCATCACCTGGGGACATGGTGAATGGCGCGGCCCCGGCCCACCCAGGACAGGTGGCGCTGATGCAGGCAGGTGGTCTTGGGCTTCATTGAAAGACAGAGCTGAGGAATTGTGGGGAGAGGGGAGGAAGATTTTTAAAGTGCAGAATCCAGGCCCTCCCTGGAGGCGCAATGGGTTAGGATGTAAGCTGGCCGCAGGTGCTCAGCGAGAGTTCGATCCCCAGCCCCGGAGCTGACCCACGGGGCACAGCAGACCTCCCTGGTCTCCCCGCTGCTCCCCTCAGCAGTGTACTTCATCGATCTGCCTGTTCTGCTCCCCGCCCTATCTCTGGGGGATCCTCTCACCATCCCTGCACCTCTGGCCTGTACCCCAGTTCTGTATGCATCAATAAATAAAATCTTTTTTAAACATGCAGAATCCGACCCAGCAGGCCCAGGGCAAGTCTAACCCCAGCTGGGGGCTAGTGAGCCCTGGGGATGTGAGCGCCGCAAACACACTGAGTGGCCGGCCTTCCGCAGCTGAGACGGCAGGTCCCAGCCTGACACACAGATCGGCCAGCTGCGTCCGCACGCCCCAGCGCCACAGGGAGCGACCAGCCCTGCCGCCCAGAGCCCCCGTCTATCTTTACCAGGTTCCCAGGCGATTCCTAAGCACGTTAGTTTGCCACACAGGCATGAGAGCTCTCTGGGGTCAGGACACAAAGCAGCTGTTTTCTATAGACGAGTCAGGGAGCAAACAGGCCAGAGCTCCTCTGGATTCCGAGAGGCTGGCGGGCAGCCCAGGCGGGAGTGACCTATCAGAAACCAGAGTTGCCAGTCCTGGCAGAGGGCAGGTGTCTGCACTGCCCCAACCCAGCGCTGGCCCGGGCAGGTGTGACCAAGTCAGGGTCGGCTGAGGGTGTTTGTGTCAGGACTTAAAAGTCACTTGCTCCAAAGAAGCAGCAGCATGCAGCTGTTCGGCTTGTCGGAAACCAAAGAGGTAGGAAAAGACAGAGTTAAGTCAGAAAGAACTCAAACAAAATCCCGATGAGATAATCGGGGTCTCACGGAATTGCGGGTGGTGGGGAACCCCAGGAGTAGATGGAATCAGGGGAGCCTAACAACAGGCCCCTTGTCTCCTTCAGCTTTGTCTGTCGGGGGCGAAGTGCTTGCTGCAGACAGTTGTTTCTGTTCCTTGATCAATACATCAAGGAAGAGTCTGAGGAGACAGGCGTGTCTCGGAAGGGACGCTGCTGGCATTGATGAATGCAGACAGGGCGATGCAAATACTGTGTTCAATTTGCATTTCTGTGGACGGAGCAATTTCTGAAAACTATTTTCAAAGCAGAGACTATGTGGGGCGCATCTGGCTCCATTTCTGGAAATATTCCTGACATCTCTGCCTTCTCTTCTGCTCGTCCCCCTCAAATCCAGTGTCTGTCCTTCCCCAGGCCAGCCCCGTGTCTTCTGGCTGCCCTACTGATGACACACCGGCCTGTGTCTATCAGAGCTTCCAACTTCGGTCATTCCGGGGGACCCACTAGCTGGGTACTTGCTGGGTACCACATCAGCCCAGCCCCTTGATTCGACCGCCAAACATCCTACTTCTCCTAACTTCTGTTCCCTCACCTCAGTCTTATTTTCCACCACTATGCCTTGGCCCCAAGCTCCTAGAACAGGTTGGCAGTAACTTCTAAGGCTTTCACTCTGCCTCATTAGCACCTCACCCCTCTGCTGGGCGACCCCCAGCCCCGCTGCGGGCGGTCTATCGCTCACAGTGACCACAGCTTCAGCACGTTTTCATACAGATCTGCTCTTCACAGGTTTTGAACAGATTTTGCATTGCACAACATGTATGCTGCACTCAGGAATGAAAGTCAAGCCCTTGGCCAATGTTCTTTTATGTTCAGAAGCATCAAGAGAAATTCAGAACAAGCCCCCAAGGAGTCGGCTCTGCCTGCTCTGTTTTGCTAAACACCAGACTTCCTCTGTCCCCACAGAGGGACTCTTGGTGACTCCTCCACCCCTGAGCCATTTTGCCCAAACGGTGGCAACAGTGGCCTCACCAAGGATGAGTCTCTCCGCGCAACCAGAGACAGCCCTGCGCAGGGAGAGCCCTGTGAGGTCCCTGGAGCGGCTTGTGTGCAAGGCGCCGCCCGCCCGCTGGGGCTGTTTCTTCGCAGGGCAGAATCACAGGAGGAAAGGACTGGACGCCAGCTGGGGAGTCACTTGCCAGCTGGGAACCCCTCCAGGCCACGCTGCGGGAAGGAGACTCGGCACCATGGACGCCATGAGGAACGCAACTGTGCAGAAGCCTGCACAGCGCACCCGGGCTCTCTGCCCCCAGTTAGAACTCCCCCACCCCCCAAAAAAATTGTTTTAGTTGAATGAATGCAGGCCAGAGAACTGATGTCTGCAATAACAGTCCCTCCCAGATCCTCAGCCTCTGTCTTTCAGAGCTGGGCAAATGGTGGTGCTTCCCTCCCAAAGGCTTCGCTTTGAAAGGCGGGTCTCCCCACTCCCCCACAGTCATCACTGAGCTCCCTCACCGCAGACGTGTGAGGTGCTTTTGAAACTTAACTTTCTAATAGTGCGTCCTTCGGAAAGAAGAGTTTGCTAAGTTCATTGATTGTCTTTTGGCAAGCCCACAGCTCCTGGGTTTGGACAGATTGGACAGAGCACAGATTTCCAATACCAATTCAAAGGACAGTCCCTGAAAATCCAGAAAGCTTTCCTTAAACTCCAGAAAAAAAAAAAAAAAGATAAGAGGAAGGAGAGAAAAGATGAGAGGCTTAAGGGAGAAGTTTAGTGAAAGAGCGAGGCAATAAATTGTGTAGAGGACGTATTTCCAAAGTCAAAGGACAAAACACGTCCACTAACATATATTAACCTTTATTCTGTAACAGACATAAATAATTTTATGAATTCCTATGACCTGTACAAAAGACAAAATAAGGTATTGCACTAAGTTTAGATATGGGATATTGGGATTTATATTAGTTCAACAGATAAATATATACAACTTCAGGAATTAAGGCAAAACCAGATGATACTTGAAACATAAGAGAAGATTTGAAAAATAGGCATAATTAAAAACAAGGGCATCCCATCTCTGGTTAATAAAGTGGTCATGTCTAAAGAAAAAAAATCCCTCAGGTTTCTAATAAAATGGTTCTTATCAATCATGTTAATTAAAGTTGAGCAAAAAACTGTAAGATTTCCCAGGGAGGAGAACTGGTCGTGGAGGTTGGCAGACTGAGCAGTTAGAACACGGGTAAGCAACTTTCTCCTTGTCAGATTTACGATCTATTCTTCCTATTAGAAAATATAATAATTTGGAAAATATGACTCTTTCACATATATAATTAAAATACAACTATGAAGCCTTCTTTTCTTATTTTCTCTAGGGGAAGTCATTTGGGGGAGCTCATCGGGTACATTGACGGGCAGACCATCCATCACCCTCTTGGTAGAGAAGACACAAAACCGTCACTGAAAAACAATTCTCAGTCACCTTAAGAGAACAAAACAAACAGATTCCAAAGGAAGAAAAACAAGCCTGGTCAACAGAGGAACACAGCACACAGTTCTTTGGCAAAAACACACTAACCACGGTCTCAAGTCCGAACTTCCAAGTTTTCTCCTTCTTGGGCCCGGTTGGCAGTCTTTTGAAAATAAACAAATAAAATTCCACCTCTGCAAGGAATTCAGTAATTCCAGGGACTTAAAATCAGAGGACCCGGCAGGCAGCTCGGCAGCGGTACAGTGGCCAGGGCGAGGCTTCATCCGCTGGGGTCCCCATCCGACACATGGAACCCACACACGCGTCACCTGCGAGCCTTTGTGTTGGTCTGGACGGGCCTAGAATCCTTAAGGAGAATCCATGTTCACCCATGAGAAATCAACAAAGGACAGCACTCCGATGATGAGAAGATGATCTTCACGGCAGCCAGGCGGGCCGCCTCCCTGCCGGACGCCCCAGGAGCAGGCTCTAGAGGGGAAACACCAGGAAGCCGGAGAACGTGGAGTACTGCCAACCTCCGACCAAGTTACCTTTCTCCAGTTTCAGGTACACCTTATCCTCTTTATCCAGGTAGAGGAGGACTCCATTGGTGGCAGCCTCACGAGTCACGTCTTTGTCTCCGGCGAAGGCAGATATGACGGGTTTGCCATTTAACATCAGGTTGACCTACAAGACAAAAATCACTGAAAAGGCTTCTTGCGATCCCAGCACCCACTGGGTGGCCAGTGAAGCAGCCCTGTTCAGCTCCTGACCCCTGGCTTTCCCGCTAGCCAGCTGCAAGGCTCAATGAGCGGATACTTTTCATTAAAAAAAATACATATTTCTTCCGTAGAAAATTCCTTCAATAGCTATAAAAGCGTGGCATCAGGAGAGCACCAGCCACGTGAAGACTGGCCTGCTTAGCCGCTCACCTCCACAGCAATCTTCTGGGGGGTGTGAAGTCTGTGGCTCGCCTGTGTACATGAGTCAGTGGAGACCTGATGCCCTTTGCCCCACGAACCCAGAAGTAGCAAGATTCCAACTACAGCCCTGCAGGTGACTCCTCGGCCGTGAGGAAAGTCACTTGACGTCATGGGATGTGTGAAGTAATCGGGTCTTCTGTTTCCCCGATAAGAACCATGCATTAGGATAATCACCACTAAGGCTGGAGACCTTACTGGAGGGAGATTAGCAAAAAGGATCAACTCTTCATGCCACGATTTCAGTTAACTGTGCTCGACATTACCGCTGTTTCCAACGGTTGGGGAGAACTTGTTTAGGAAATACTCCCTTTATGTTAAAAATGAGGTGGAATGAATTAAATCTGACACTGATCAGTTTAGCCATGCCTAGGACCAGCTAACCCAGTGGACGAGTGCCTCGTCCATCATCACGATGACAGTCTGTACAGTGGCAGCCCCGAGCGCAAGGTAGAAGGTCATCCTGGAATTCCATGGACGTGGAGTGATTTATTGGATGCTGGCATATTTAAACAGTACGGGGACTGGCGCCTGGTGGTCTTTCAAGGTAAGATCAAGCCCAGCATCTCAGAAAGCACCGTGGAAAATACACTGTCAGCGACAGAGTTGTAATTGGTAAGAATTCACTAGCATCAGAGAAACTGTAAAGGAATTAAAGCATAAGCACAGCACACCTTTCTAAAAGTGTCTGGAATAGTGTTCCCTCGAGATTTATTCCTTATGGTTAACTGATCTCATCATTTGTAATAATGGTAACAAGTTATTTTACGTATTTACTTATGATGCGCTTTAAAGGTTTATTAGCCTTCCAAGTTTTTCCTGATAAGTTCAAATAACCTTGGCACATGTATTAAATGCAACCAAGTTTTTTAAATAGATGCATGTCACTGAATTTTTACTAAACTGTGTTTTTTAATTGACTGGTTATTATTTTTTTTAAATATTTATTTATCCATACAGAACTGGAGTACAGGCCAGAGATGCGGAGGGTGAGAGGATTCACCAGGGACAGAGTGGGGAGCAGAACAGGCAGATCGACTAAGTACACTGCTGAGGGGAGCAGCGGGCGGGTCAGGAGAGGTCTGCCACGCCATGTGGATCTCCTCCGGGGCAGGTGGGGATCGAACTCATGAGAAGTTGGCTTAAGCTTCTTAGTGCAGTGCTTTAACCCGCTGAGCCACCAGGGAGGGCCTGACTGGTTATTATTAAGGTGATAATTGCAACTTTATTTTTCTATGTTTCTGGTGACATGATGATGTTACAAAGAAGAAGTTGGATATTAAGCATTTTTTAAATAAACTATGAAAGTGGTTGGTTTCCGTTGATAATGAAAACACTTTTAGCTAAATACTTAAACATATGTCCCACGACCCATGAACACTTCTTTTGGGGTGAGGGGGGGAGGGTTTGAGGCACGTACCTGGATTGTTTGGCTCTGGTAGACTTTAATTACGTGAAAACTGAAACTGTAAATTCCTTTTCTGGGAGCTACAAAGACAGACTCCAGCGTGAAGAAGTTACCCACATTTACTAGAATCTACAAACAAAAATAATAAATAACAGTATATGTTTACAGTATTCTCTTCCTTTTCCTCGATCCTCCCTCCCCCCTCCTCCCTCCCTCTCTTCCCTCCCTTCTCTTCCTTCCCTCCTTCGCCCTCCTCCCTCCCTCCCACCTCCTCCCTTGCTTCCTCTCTCCCTCCTTCCTTACTTCCTCTCTGCTTCTTTCATTTATTTCTTCCTTTCTTTATTTCTTGTTCTTAATTGACAACTAACTCAACAAATCATCAAGAATAAAACACAGAGTTCTATTCCTTCTCTGTTGGAAAATGGATTAGTGAGAAGACGAGATCTTGAGAACTGCTCCGTGTTCAAGCCTCAGTTTCCAACGGAGCCATGAGAGTGGAGCAGGGAGGTAACATGTGGTGTGTAAATGTGGCTTCACCTGGTGAGTCAGCCGGGCCTCTGCCGTCCATCTCCTTCCCCACCCCCACCAGCCTCCTCTGTGTCCAGAGGTGACGTTTCCGCGTGGACCAATTGGCGCCCGTGGGCTCTCTGCAGTCACTCCTGGACACGCCGCGGAGGCCAGGGCGCCCCGCACCATGTGACCCAGTCAGAGACAACAAACAGTTGGTGCAGGGAGAGCCCAGGGCCTGCCCCCTCGGCCTGCAAGCCTTCCCTGGGACCCACGGCTGTTTTGTTTTGTTTTTTTTTTCTTGCTTGCTTGAGCCATCTAGGTCTTAATTATAATGTTTTGGCAGTGACTCAGCCGCTGCAGACTGCCAAAGAGTGGAGCAAGCTTAGGGCAGCCTGCGACGCGTGGCGCCGTCCTGCGTTCCATCCAGCACCAGCCATCCCCTGGCTCAGTCACCTGCTCGTTATTTAAAGTTCAGAGGTCAAAAATGAAAGCAAGGAAGCCAGTGTTTCCCAAGAAAGCGATGATGCACGTTGCATTCCGAGATCTTCCCCTGGTTCCACTGGCTATGAAATTAACTCTGAATTTCAATGTGGCCTCTTAAACTAGATTTGCACACAGCACAGAGGTAAGTTCCTCCCTATGCGAAAGAGACTGGGGGGGGAGGGGGGGAGGTACTGATGGGGAGGCAGGGGCACTGGGGTGCAGTGGGGTTTCTTCCATTTCACCCCAACAATAAGTCCATCAGAGGCACTTGAAAATGTCAGCTAGCCCTGTAAAGATCTATTCCCTCTCTCACAGGCGATGGGGTACTCCCTCCCTTAAACACGACTGTCTTGACAAAATTATACAATTTAATCTTATAGCATCATTCCTTAAAATCACAATATTGCCAGTGAGCAATGCACCAGAATGGAGCGCCGGCCAGGTAGCTAGACCAGGCTCAACCCTGGCTCAAAACACAGGGCGTGGAGCATTTTATTCCAAGACTTCACCTTCTTCCAAGCACTAGATTTCTTTCTCTAACCTGATCGATGCTCTTTGAATAACAAGTCACCAGCTATGCAATAATCCCCACAGAGGTTCCACAAAGATTTTTCTCAAGCACATATAAAATAAATGGAGGCACTTAGCGGGGACTTCCTGACTCCAGTACAAGAGCATAATTCATTAGTGATCATGGAAATGGCTGATTAATGTTGACTCCACAGAAGACTGCTGTTGACTCTACACTGTAATTAGAACATCCAGGCACATGGAGACTCGGAACTGGTGGTGCCTTGTTGCCTCAGAGATGCAGGGCTGGGGACGGAAGAACAAACTCTGCTCCTCGTGTAATTGAAAGAAAGGTCACCTCGAGAAAGCACAGCACCGAGGACAGGGCAGTGGCCCCCGTGGTCCACTCCTAATTGACGCGCTGACACTCAGACAGGGTGGCCCGAGACTTCATTTCCATCAAGCTGGAAATACTGCAGCAAAACCCCACAGGGGTGGCTTCATTCTTTCTCAAGTATGGCTGTTGGAGTGAGCCCCAGAGAGGCATCCACACCTTGGGCCAGCTGAACTGTGAGCCACTCAGGAAAAATTAACCGAGGAGCAGAGATCCCCCTTGGCCCCAATGCCTGCTCCTGGCCACTCCACCCTGTTCTTGCCGGGGGCTGGAACCGTGAGCCACACCGTGCTTTCGGGATCTAAAAGACTCTGGGTGTTCTTAGGGTTGACGTGAAAACCCCAGGGATGGTTTTCGGTTCTAAGACTCCTCTAAAGCTAAGCTGAGAGCTGGGTTTCTCGGGAGCCAAATCCCAGAGCTCCAGCTCTCTACAAAAGGAGCCACCACGTTCCTGGGTGCCTCTCCCTTGCCAACTTCCAGCCCCAAAGTCTACCTAGCGCCAGTGATTTGCAATTCTCTGAAGAGCAGGAGCCGGGGAAGGGAGAATCAGCTCCCCAGCCCGTCCCTGGGGGCCCAGCACAGTAGCCAGACCGCTTCTCTCCTCCTCCGCAACTTTTCTCCAACTACAGAGATGGGGACTCGGCTGCAGGGCGCGATGTGTGGGGGGATCTTGGCAGAGAAAGGCGGGTGAGATGCAGGGGGTCCCGGCTCCCCGCCCTCTTGGCCACCTGCGGGATCTCTGCAGAGTATGGACCCCCGGAGCTCTGATTCGGGAGGGGCTCCCCCCCACCTCCCCCGGGAGAAACAAATCGTTCATCTTGCGCCCGTCCGTCCGCCCGCCCGCGCGGACACCGGGAGCCGCCTCCGCGGCCTCCGCAGTGGAGTGTGAGAAGGGGCCGGCTCCGGCCAGGGGGTGCCGGGTCCAGGCACCCGATTCCCCGCCAGCTCCAAGGAACCTGTTGCTGTTCAACTTGTCCTGAGCCCCGCGCCGGGCTCTGAGCTCCCATCCTCTCTCCCACGGCCCCAGCAGTCGCTTGCGGAGGGCACGAGGGGATGTGGGCTGGGGGTGACGGTGCTCGAGACATTAAAGTTTCGGTCCCGGCCAGGTCTGGGGAGGCCACCACTGCCGGAGTGACCCCCACCCCGATCGAGCCGGCTCGGTCGGAGCAGGCAGGGCGCCCGGCGGCCCCGCGCTCCCTCCCAGAGGCCCGCGTCCCCGGGGTCTGACCTGGTCGAAGTAAATGATGCGCGTCTTGTTGCTCATCTCGGACGGCTCGTGGTTGGTACTCCGCACGGCCGAGAAGGCGACCTTGGAGTTGGCCGCTCGCACCGAGATCCCCAGCGGGGAGGAAGAGGAGCCCTTGGAGTCCGCGGCCGGGTTCGAGTCGCACACCACCAGACACTTGCCCTCCAGCACGATGGGCTCCGTGTCGTTCTGCGCCCGGACGGGCCAGCCGGGCCTGGGGGCGGGGCGCGGGGCGGCCAGCACCGCGGACAGCTCCCCCATCGCGGCGCGCAGCCGCAGTGGCTAAGAGCCGTCTTAACCCCTTCTCCGCCGGAGCCGAGCAGACAGTGCGCAGCCGCAGTGCTGCCGCTTCACAGCTGAAGGCCGCGGGCCAGGAGCTCGGTTAACTCTCGGCCTCCTAGCGCCTAACGGGAAGGTGGATACCCGCTGCAGCTGTAGAGGCTGATCAGCGTGGGTACTGGTTTAACGCCTTGCTCTGAGATGGCACAAAAGTAGAAGGGGTATGAGAGCATGGTGGAGTCCCTGCAAGAAGGAAAGGAGAGGTTAGGATACCGGGAGGGGGTGGGGTGGAGGGGTGGACCCTTCACTTCACTTTGGCCACAGCTCCCAACTCTCGAGTGATCTCACTTGGAGGCTAGAGAGTGCTTGGGATGCTACCGGCACGGAAAAAAATAAAGTATGGAGTAAATGAGTGACACCCCCCCATGGCTGTCCCGGACCCCAAGCTGCACCCCAGCATCCTTCAAAGTGGTCAGAAGGGGGAAGGGCATCCCAGGTCATGGGAGAAGGGGGCTGCAGAGGCCTGGGGGACACTTCCGACCAAATCTCTTCCGCAACTCCTCCCTCCCACCTCCCCCCCACTCAACCCCAAATCTCGCCAACTCAGCGCTTCTCAGGGACCAAACTTTATGCGGTGCCTCCGGGCCCCCCTCCCCCTCTCTCCCTCCCCCGGCGCAAATGCGGCAATGCGGCTCCTCGTCCTTCCCGGCCCAGGACACGGCACGGTGGGGGGAGGGGGCCCGACCAACTCCTCCGGGTGTTTGGGTCCCCAGGAGGCTTGGGGGGGTGGTCTTGGAGATGCTCCTCTTTCTAATTCGAACTTTCTAATTCCTCCTATTTCTAACTGTCTCTTCTGACTCTGGGAGGAAGTTTGGAAGAGGCGATTCAAGGCAGAATCAGTGGGGAGGGTACCTATTGGGTTTGGGAAGTTACAGATGTTTGTGGAAAGTTTGGGGGGAAAAGTGAAGAAAGATTTGGGGGAAAATCTGTGATTTGGAGGGAGACAAGGGGTGGGGGGCTCTCAGCTCTCTTTGCCAGGGAACAGAGGAGCCCAGTCCTGGGCTCTGGACTGGAGGGCTGGGGAGGCGGGAGGGGGGCTCAGAGGGGTGGTGGTGGAAAGCAGGACAGAAAGAATTTTAGGCGCTATTTTAAGAAGGAAGTTTTGGGAATGGATAACATGTGGGGTGTCCCAAAGATAGAGGTTAGGTGAAATTCTGCAGTAGGAGGGAAAGTCTTTTGATCGTGAAAGGGGGCTTGGGAAGCGCTGGAGGGAGGCACTAGAGCTTGGGAGTGGGCTGTGCAGGGTTAAGGATTGGTGGGTAGAGGAAGAAGCAGTGCTGGAAGGCTTGGCACAGGAAAGGCATATTAAGGGAGCTCCGGACTCCCCTGGAGCCTTGAGGAGTGGAAAGGAGGAGCGGGGCAACTCTGCAGCTTTCCGGGAAAGCCTTGGGGCTGGGATTTAGCACAGGGTGCAGCAGGGCAGGAGCACAGAGCCAGCTGGAGGGTCCCACGAGTAACTCCCCCC